TCTATTCTACAGAAATAAACAATGATATTTAAAACCTACAAACAAAATTTCTTGAGCCCTTATCTATTATCTGTTTGCAGTTACTTTGAATCTCCAAAGCCTGGGAAGGAGATAATTGAGGAATGTGTCGACAGGATGCGTGTGTCATTGTTAGATGCCCCAAGACACAAAGGGACCAGAGCAAAGACTGACTTTAGAATTCCATCATGATGTATATAAATACTTGTTTTATGGGAAAGGGAGGGATTGCTAAAGAAAAGAATTGGTGTTTGTTTGATGAAAATGATTTTAGTAAATGTAAGCTACCACCTAATTGGAACTGTATATATGACAAACATGAGGTTGGTGTCAAACTTAGATTTCTTCTTAAAATGAGAAAATTCCTACAGTTATCTCCAGTGACATATCAGAGGGTAGCTGACAATATTGTGGAGGCCCCAAGGGCTTATATTGAGAAGATCAAGTTTGTTTAAGTCCCTTCATTATGTGATCAGTGTTATCAAGTGGACTTACAATGGAATTAACATAGCATTATTTGTTATTTCATTTTTTTCAAAACAGTTTTACTTCTCAGCTTTAGGCATTGCTGATTTTTGACATTATCAATTTCACATGATGCAAGGAATTATAACAAACTTATTATTATTCTTGGAGCTGACCACTGGGCTGGAATCCTGTTTCAACATGTTTTACCAGTGTTACCAGGGTCGGTGTTTAAGGCTTCATTTTTTTTTTTAACTAGAACCTCTTTCAATAAGGCTAATGAGTTCCTGTTTGTTAAGTTTAGAGAGGCCCTCTGTACTATGGCGCCTCTCTTTCATTATTTCCTTGAGCCGCTTGATAGTGAGTTTGCTGAAATCTTCCCTGGGAGTGAGGTGCTGCATGTCTTCATTTTCAGAAAGAGATGGATTCCGGATTGCTGACCTTTTCCACTTCCTAATTTCACTGATTTCATGCCCCCAGTACTCCAGCTTTCTTTTCATGTAAGTTTGATTCTCCCTTTCATGCTGCTTGAGATCCCACTGCCTACTTTCTGTGCAGAGAATGTCTTTTGCAGCATCCCATTTGTTTGATCTTTGGAAGAAAATCCTTTTGGCTTTATCACTATTCTTTTTTACCCCTTGACCAGTGAACTTTTTAATACAGCCATGCTTCTGAACAAAGAAAGGAAGGTGATAGGTTATAAGGTGCATGTTGGGTGTTATCCTGGGTCTGGTATACCCAGAGTGTACCCCTCACTGGGAACAGAAAAGGTCAATCCGTGCCTTTCCTTCATCAAATAATTCATTAGCTGCAGCTACAGTAAGGTTGAAATCAGATTCCTTATTATACAAACTGCCAAAATTATCCCATATTTTTTTCGCAGTTGCACATTTGTCAGGATACAGGAACAGTTATGGGTAACGTGGACTTGGGCCCGAACCTCGCGATCGCCTCGCGCGAGAACGCTTTCCCCCCTACCTCCCATACTAAGTGGAGTTTTGTCCCCAAACTTCCTCTATAGTTTGGAGATCAATAAGCCAATCAGAATCCGTTGTTTGCGCATATATTTTTTCGACTTTAGGGGGTACTAGAGGGGCATTACTCTATGCGTCTTCACTAAATGATCAAATTTGAAAATATGGCGTCCACGCGGCCGACCCTCAAAATTTTCAGGTCGGATTTTTCGTTCATTTGCGATCGAGTTAGACCTTGTGGAATTCAGAATGTAAAGTAACAATGTTATAGAATACTCTGCTTGGAAAAGAATGGATATCCAGGTCTTAAAAGTGACAGAATAAGCTCTCAAGTCAACGACACTACGATTCTCTAAGGCGATGCGAATTATGGACGTAAAGTGAAAACCGAACTTTCGGACTTCAAGCAGGGCCTGGCGACAATTTGACGATTCGATGGCCCGGTAAATATTATGTTCGAGTAACAATGTGTTCAAAAAGTATAGTTTAATAGAAGATTTTGCCTCAAATCGAAGTTTTTTCAGAATTTTCAACATAACGCTGCGCAATTTCTGGCCATGAAGGCAAGTAAACAACGATCTAAGCATGATGAATTTTACCGCGTGGGCTTTGTACACGTAAGAAATTCGTACGTTTTTCGCTTATAACAGCAAATCAAAAACTGTTTTGAATAAATCTGACGTCCCGAAATATTTCTTGGCCATTTTAGTCTTGCTTCCTATTGATAGATTCCATGGAACTTGAGATCTCTTCACTCACGGACAAATTTGCATATTCCCTTTTGAAATATGATCCACATGCCCATTTTCACACATGCGAAAATATTTAGCGATTTTTATCTTTCATCTTGATTTTTGAGTTAAAACATAATATGCACCTATCGCTTTTTTCGCCGGAAATAAGTTCTTTAATTAGTCCTCTTTCACTGGAGGTTATTTTTTGGAAAAGCTGGTTTTTAAAAATTTACTGCGCATTGTCTTTGCCTTCTTGGTTTCTCCAAAATTTTGACTTTTCGTCGGCACGTGTTACACGTAAGTGTCAATGAGCTTTGATGGCAGCTCATCCAGCAGCTTCTTCTTCTGTATACCTAAAAGGCTAGTGAACTCCTTTACCTGGCTTTCAGAGCCATCTGCATTTCTTTTGTTCCAAATAGAAAATGAGATTCCTAAGCCACTGATTGCTTTAACAAGCCTGTTAAGAAATATTCCCTTGGGTTGTCCCCTGGGCTTCTCAAAGTCCTCAACTGCATCTCTTTCTAGCACCTCATTGATTACATTTTGGAGTAGTTTGTCAGTTATTCTTAATAACAAATGGAGTTCATCTGGTGTTATGGGGATGTTCAGAAGTGGGTCATGAATACTGCCAAAGTTATCTTTGGATCCACATAGCCTCTTGATTTCCTACAAAGTGCACCTCATGGGTTCCTCATTGTAATAATTCACAGGCTTGCTTGTGTCCCATCTGTCATCTTTGTGTATTTTGCACCACAAGCAAGCATAATCTGCAATAGCTGAGCTCAAACCTAGGATCATTAGAAGGAACTTCATATCACCACCAAGGAAAAATTCAAGTTGGACATTTTCTCCATCAATGCTGATGTTTACTTCCTTGTGTTTTTCTATAGGCTTGCCTAACAGTGCTAGCTTTTACGTGTAGGAGCTCCTCTGTGCATAAACACCCTCTTTTTATGGTGAACAGTCCATCCACAGCACTACCAATGTAACTTAATTCCATAGAGTTACCATCTAAAAGATCAACCCACAAGCGTAACAGTGGCCAAGGAATCTCCACACAAAACAGGAATTCATATTGCTGAGAAGCCTGTTGTTTGGCATGGTGAAGATGGGGTTCTGAATAAAGCTTAAGTGCCCATTTTTGTTTCTGTTTTTTGGAAGCAAAAAGAACTTCAGAGATTTTTACTCTTTGTTTTAATAATGCAAACTTGATTTTTCCGGCATGAATTTACGTGAAACCCAAGCCTGTATTATTAATCAGGAGAGTGTGGAAACTAATTTCTATTAACAACAAACAAAATGGTGACTGGAGAGAAGTTTCAGTGGAGACTTTCTTTCCCTTCTTCGACCAAATTACAGCGTTTCAACATGGCATATGGTTACATAAAAGGAGAAGGGAAAATGAGAGATTTAAGACTGATGTTTGAAGTATTTTGCAAACCAATATTCATAGTTTTTTCTGTGGATCTGAATACACCAAACATCAATGAATCTATATTGAGTCGCACAAATTGCATTCGTCAACAGGTTCAGCCCGGAATCTACAAGTGTTTGCCATGACCTTCATCAGGATTTTAAGGGAATGTAGGAAGAAATGGATCGTGAGTAGAGCAATGGAAGCTATCTTCTTGCAAAGTAAGTAAACCTTACGTGTATTCAAAGTTTTTCTGTGAAATAAGGAGCTCTTACTGCACTTATCATTATTCGAGCCGCGCACTGAAGACACATGAGCTCATAACTGCTAAGTTTGCAAAATTTTTCCTTTCTCCATACATTTCCTTACACGAATATACCGCCATTTTGACCTTATTGCACATGCTTGCTTGCCATCTTGTCCCAGATTTCGGCAATGGGGCCTGACATCCCAAAACGCTACCTCGAAGGGCATGACATAGTTGTCGGATCAAATAATCTTTACTCTAATTTTGATTGTAGATTGATCCTTACACCAAGCCTCAAGCAAGAGAGAAAATAGATAAACGCAACAGTAATGGGTAAAACAGAAGCTACATTCGGTCATTAATATAGTGTTGGAAGATACAATCGAAATTATTTAACACAAGCGGGAAACAAAGGCAGAAGATAAAACCCTCACATAACCGCTTTGAGCAACTGCAGAATACCCTCCTTACATAACATCTTCGTTCTTCGCGATAGAGGCTATTCTTATTCAATGACAGGTAAATGAGTGGCAGGGTATTCTGCAGTTTAGTCACCACTTTCAAACAACAACAAAAATTGTTAAACACTGAAAGAAATATAAGATTTCACCGAGAGAGAAAATGATTATTGCGTGCACACATTATATCACCTGCAATATTCAAGTGACTCCTTGTAAGTGCACCTTCGCTCCGAAGGTGTCACTCTAGCCTCGCTCCCGCGTTTGACTTGGAAATCCGCTGACCAATTTTGGAACGACACGGCTCGAAAAGATGGGCAAGGCAACAGGGAATCAGCTGTGTTTTATGGTCATGAATAGAAAACGCCTATAAAAAGACTCTTCTCTTGATCTGGTAAGAGGTGCATCTCATTGAAAAACGCCCTCCCTTCCTTCCCAGTGCCGTATGACCTCGCATATTTTTTTGTGTATCTGATCCACAGGCGGAGATAGGAAGTTGTAGCCCACCGCGGTGCTGGATCGAAATGTCGACTAGAGTAGCGGAAACTAGAATTTTATAACGTTCACCCTCGATTGGAAACTAAGAATCCGCTGAAAGCTCTTCAACCTTCACACTGAAGGGGCCCTGAACAAATGTTTCATTGGTTTGACATACAAAAATGACAGAAGGTAGGCATGTTATATGTAAATAAATCAAGTGTTTCGAATCTAACAATTTCCCTATGATGACAGCGTACAAGTTTTGGCGCGAGACCAATTTGATTACTATTAAATGGTTCGCTTTTAAGCCATTTTATGCATTGGATCCTTATCGTGCTTAAAGAGTAATCCTGTCCTCGGTTAAACTTTTCGAGGGTAGTGCTGTTCTCAGAAGTTTTGTCGTTGCATCGATCTGTTTCGTTAGTTAGTTTCCTCGGATGGGGCCTTACATTTTCAAGTCAAACATTGTTCTCTGATCATTGATAAATATTTTATTAGCTAATCTGCGTTCTTTTCTCTTCAATAATTTTAGAATCAGCAGAAGACGGTCGCTTTTACGAAACAATTGAACAACCGGTGTGGAAGTCGTATTGTAAGTAGTTTGAATTTTTCACAAACATTTAGTAATACATGCATGTTATACAAGCATAGCCTGTGCGGAATTAAGTTTTAGCTTTTACTTGTTAAAACCTGTGTTTTTGAAAACAAACTTTGTATTTGTTTGCCAGTGTACAGACTTCAGCAGAAGGCGCCCAAGGCAAGAAGAATTAAGTGTATGAAAGAGGTAGGAAGTCTTTGTCCAGTTTCCTCCTTTTGAAGCACTGGTTTTATAAACCACGAATGAATTGATGTAAGCTTGTTTTGTGACAGAGTGGAATACAATAGCTCTGAACAAAGACCTGTCTGAATTTAAACGAGCTGATTTTGTTCGCATGCCCACACCCATTTAATAAAATACATTTTCGAAAGTTAAACTATTGAAATTAAAACCAAATTTTGTGAATTAAAAGTTGACACAAATGATGCCTACTGTTGAACGTTCACAATAAAATAATATGTTCCATATTTAGTGATTTTACTAAAACAAATCGGGTTTGACTGCCAAATTTTGCTGTAGTTGAGCTTTATTGTAATGTTTATGTTTTTCAGTAATCAGAATATTATCGCTAATTTGCATTTAGTTAACCTGATTTCATTTTTAGTTAGTTAATTAGGTTTTTCTGCTGGTTTGATTTTTTCTCTGATCTTGTCTTGTATTATAAAAAGTTGGACCAGTTTAACCAATCAGACTTGAGGATTTGAAATTCCAGCACACTAGGATGCTTCAGAAAAAAATAAAAACTTAGAACTGTCACTGGTATGTCTTTCAAAAGTGTTACCCAGAACATGGGAAAAAATGTTCAAATAACCCTCTCTTTGATTAATTCATTCTGAAGACATTCAAAACAGTTATTGTGCAAATGGTAGTGTTTCTTATAGAGTTGCTTTTTATTTTTACATAATGTACATACTGTTCTCTCTCACAGTTACCCTCCAAGCCTGCTCACTATGGGAAAGAGTAAGTATTGTCATTTAAAGTTTGTAAGTCTATTGGTGAGAATTATCAAACTTAACCTTTAAACCGTAAGTGACTAGCATCTAATTTCTCCCTACATTGTCACCCATAAATCACACATTAAGATCATGAGAATATAGAAGAGATGATCACCAATTGAAAATGCTCTTGATTGTTGAACAAATTCTCCTCCTCAGCATCTTGGGAAATGTATAGAGAATAGTATGTAGAATATGCATGATGATCTTAGGGTGTAAAAGGTTAAGTGTAGGGCAATTTCTTCTTTTGTAGAAAGGTTTTTTAATAGTTTTTTATTACACGACTTGGGCAGTCAGAGGGCCAATAACTAAAATCAACCAATCAAAATGCTCTATTGCCGGTCCAATATTCTCTAAGTATTGGACTGGGCACTGTCCGGAATGATACCCCACTTGTGTCCCTTTGAACTTCAGTCGTATAATTAATCTCTTATTAACCAAGCTTCCTTGGGACCGTACTGGAAGAATATCGCCCCTCCGTCTTTATTGTACAGACCTTGCTGCACTCGGTCCGTACTGTCAAGACCTCGGGCCAATATTCTCCCAGTACGGCCCTCGTGCTTGGTTAATAAGATATGTGTATTACTTCTAGGTTTCATGGATGCATATCACGTGAGGAAGCTGATGAACTTGTGTCAGATGCTGATGGTTGCTACCTTGTGCGAGAAAGTCAGAGATCACGTGGAAGTTACACTTTAACAATGAGGTAAAAGCAACCCCTTTTACCCCAAAACAGTGCTCAACACTAACTTTTCAACTTACCAGCCAAGTGGCTAGTGACAACTTAGATGTTATGATAATTTCAGTTGTTTTTACAAGCCAAACTGGCTAAAGCGTATAAAGGGTTAATATAGAAAACAAGGTGGTACTGTGTAGAAGGTGGGCATCTGGGAAGTTATTCTTTCTGTCTTTTTTAATAGGTAAAGTAGTAACTACTTGAAGATATGTACTGTTAAAAGTAGAATTTGTCTAAAAAAATACATATATTTTGCCTCTGATGTGCACATCTGTTTATTTCTATGTTCTCCCTTTTTCAGATTTGGTGGAATTTCAAAGAATTTTCGCTTGTACTATGATGGACTTCACTATGTAGGTCAGTGATAATATTTGCCTTTTTCTCTCATTTCTCCACCCTCAGTTCTCTTGTACACAATTCTGTAGAAAAAGTATGTGTTAGGTCCTATTCAATCACAAGGTTAAATCCCATAACCTTTTTTTATTTTTTTCAACTCATCCTTTCCATTGGAAATGATAAAGGCATCAACTTAAAATGAGGGAATACTAAATACAGACTTAACATTCAAACAAAGAAACAAAACAGTTTTCAGCAAAACAAAATTTTGAAATTAGTGACAGTATCTTTTGTGAGAAGCATTCATCAGATAAATGGTAAAAAAAGTCAGGAACAATTTTTGTTACAAAATGTTTCAGGAATAATGTTTTATTTTTATCAGATTTGATAATGAAATCTGTTGTTTTGAATAACCTCTCCAAAAAACATTGTCAGTAGTGGTCACAATCAACACATGGTCCTTCTTTTATATCTACATTCATTCATGCATAATCCCATGAAAATTAATTATTTTGTTTTAATGCATTCCTTGCTGCTGAGGCCTTTTAGTTTTTAGTATTATTAGTCTTCATTTCTTCGCTAGATAAAAATTACGCATGTTATGTTTTGTAGTTAAACATTAAAATTAGTTAAAAAGGTGGAAAATATTACAGGCATGTGAAATATCCTAAACTTACATGGCTACAGACCATAGACCACTTTCATAAATGGCTGCAGGATTAATATTCTTTTGTTTAAATTTAAATTAGCCCCACTGGCCTCATTCTCCAGTACAAAATTCAAAAGAATACATTATCTCAAGCGAGGCCAGTAGGGCTAATTTAAATTTAAACAAAAGAATATTTATACGGCAGCCATTTATGAAAGTGGTCTATACCTTGTGTATATAAAAATTATACAATTCAGATATTAAGAATCTTTTAATTGTCCCTTTTAACTTTGGGGCAATAAAAAGATTAGTTTTTAGATGTAATTTATAGTTATAGTTCCTAGTCTAAAATCTTGAAATCAGTGAAAACTCTTCAGTGAAAACTCCTCAGTGAAATGCAAGTCTCAAGGGATTAAAATGCTGATATCACTTATCACTTAGATGCTACTTTCTAAAGGTTGTTTAGGGAAATTTAACTTTCATTTTGGCATTGTTTTACCAGCATTTTCAACTTCCTCAGTTCATTCTTAAACAAATTCGTGTTGTGTGTATGTACAAAGAAATAATTGTTAACAACATAACCATTTGTCCAATGAGAGTTCACTACGGTTCTGGTTGTGTTTGAAGTAATTAAAAATTTATGAAACAAGATATCTGGTTACCCATACTGTTACAGGTAAATATTCCCACCCTTGCGCTATTAGTTTCAAGACTGAAGGCATTCAAATGTTTTGGCCTGTTGCATTTGAGTTCTGAATGTTTGATAAAGGAAGGATTTGGAAATTTGTAATACAATGGTATTATTACAACTTCTTTTGGTTTTCTGTTGACAAAACTCAGAATGACAGAAACATTACTGTTTGCTCTGTTTGTGTACGTATAAATTTTAATTTTTGCATTTGTACGTATATAGGATCATTTATTTGTAGGAATTGTCCCCAATCATTTTCTAGGAGGATTCTGTTAGTTGAAGCAATTGCTTTAAAACCATATTTCAGTTTAAGATTTCGCTTTAAGTTGGCTTGATGAAAAAAAAACCTTCAATGAAAATTCAAGCCCAGAAATAGTGGCTATTCTTTTGTATTGGCTTCCTTGGGGGTTTGGTTTCTAGAGATTATTCTTTTTTGTTTTTAGACGGCTACCTCAGTAGGAATGCGAGTTCCACATAAAAGCAATTGAAGCAATTGCTTTAAAACCATATTTCAGTTTAAGATTTCGCTTTAAGTTGGCTTGATGAAAAAAAAAAACCTTCAATGAAAATTCAAGCCCAGAAATAGTGGCTATTCTTTTGTATTGGCTTCCTTGGGGGTTTGGTTTCTAGAGAGTATTCTTTTTGTTTTTAGACGGCTACCCCAGTAGGAGTGCGAGTTCCATATAAAGACTTCCGTCTCTCTTGTTTTGTTTGGGTCTTAGCAAAGAACTGTGAGCACATGTGTTCAGTTTCATTGATTAAGAAAATCACACCCGGTTTTGTTTTGCTACAGGGGAGAAGCGTTTTCAAACCATTCAGGATCTTGTGGCAGATGGTCTGATCACCATGTACATAGATACGTATGCCAAGGACTATGTTGATACGATGATGATAAGTCCTGGAAAAACTGAGGGGAAGAAAGACGAGGGAAAACAAAGTGGTGGTGATAGGAAAGAAAATAATGAACTAACTAAAGAAACATCTGATGCTTCAGGGAGAGACCAGGTTTGAATATATTATCTTGGTTTTGTTTAGCTTGATTCTGTAAATGAATAATATTTCTTGGCTTGTAAAAGAGCTCTGATTTGTGAAATCCCATTGAATATTCCAGTTCATATTTTGAGTTCACCATGGACTTGACTTTGAATTTTGTTAGATCTGTGTGTTATAACAGAATTTCAGTTTTCTTTGTTTGGGCCAAATTTAGCTTCAATCATTACTTATGCAAACAGGTCTGACTACTGAAGCTGAAACAAAGCTAAGAGAATTTCTCATGTTTTTTTGTGAACAAATTTCACATTTTGAAGTCCACTTCATGTACTAATCGGGATGGTTGTGACATTTTATTTTCTGGTGAGTAACCTAATGTTAAAAGGTTGCTAACCATAAACACTGTTGATGAAGATAAGTTTCATTAATTGTCCAAAAGTACATGTGAATTCTTAAGATAATTTACCATTCTAAAAATATGTAAATTTTGCCAAATTCTTTGTGATGCTTTAAGCTGAAGGTTTGTATTTAATGAAAAAGATTGGAAGTCAACTTTGCTCAGGAAAAAAGAAATGGAAAAACAATACTAGAACAAGTATGATTAGTTAAATTTGTGTACACAGTATGTTAAAATAGTGATGTATGAAGTAGGGCTGTTGCATCAGAAATAACATTAATGTACAGCAAGCCTTAATTGTATTAATTTGTAATCATTAGAAGACCACATTTCTTGAATATTAAATTATCAACACTGTAATCTTTTTCCAACGTTAAAAATCATAAAATAACATGTGGGTAGCTGACCTTAATATTATTTCTCTGAATAGCTACTTATCCTAACTTCATAGGGTTTTCTTAAGGAAAACATTAGAAGTGAAAACAGTGTTTCTCTACAAACTTTGCTTGATGGTGTAAACCACTTGAAAGTGAACTCAAAAATATAATTGACAGTAAAGATTCTGAATTCCAGTTTCTTGTACTAAAAACAAAATTATTCTACAAATTAGAGAAGAGGAAACAAATGGTAATTCTTAATAAAAGAGTTTTATGGGATCTGGACCTTAAGCTGAAGGTCCTGTCAGTGATATTTGGCAAATTGAGTTCTTCTGTTGTTATTAGGCAAACATACAAAGTTGAGTTTAAAACAAGAGATGCAAGATGCTTTGGATTTATGACTTGCTGGTTCTCACTGCAAAATTTTCCAATAAACAAGAACAAGTTATGGTACTTAGAACAATTAAGTCAAGAAGCTTTATGCATGTTTGGATTAGAGAATTTAATTTAATTAATCCCCAAGCCAAGCTTTCAAGGTGCAAATATGTGAAATTTAATGAAAATGCACTCCCAAATCACAGAGGTTGAACTGAATGGAATGTCCATGGGTGAAAAAAAAAAAAAGCAGTGAAAATGTAGGCGAAATGTAGCGCTTTGTTGGTTTATCATGATGACTTTCAAGATTTTAATGCTCACCTGCAGACTATAACAATCATTTTCAGAACAAATTAATATATGTATGTTTTTTTAACTTTCTTGTACACTCAATTTGATTTGTTAGACAACAGTACAGCAAATGACACAGAAAAGCCCAAGCATGCATGACTGTTATTTAAAAGGAAAAAAAAAAAGAAGGAAACTGTGATGTCTCATTTCAATTCATTTCAGCTGCTCTTGTATTTTTTTATGGCTCTCCTTTTTTTTTCTTGTCTAAGAAATTCTCTCCCCTAGCTTCTTCAACACCTGAATGTTTTCAACTTATTGGCTGGGTTTTTTTTTTAATGGTAGACCTGTACTTTTACCTCACTTTCTGAAATCAGTAAAAACAGAGAAATACTTATTTAATAATTTTTTGTTGTTGTTGTTTTGAGGGTGCTTCCCCACTTAAATTGTTTTTCTAATTTGATAGAATTTTTATTTTATTTTATTTGGCAGGTACTGTTTTGAAATATTTAGAATTATGATAAGATTCTTTCAGACAAGTATTTAATTCTTTGTTGTGGTTCAGAGTAAATCCTCTGTCTAAAATGTTTTCTTTACAAACTGAAACAATCATCTGAAAATAAAGCAAGAAAGGAATTGGATTGAAAAGATTTTAAGACAAGGAAAAATGTAAACCTCAATCAGAAAGAAAAAGTGTACAGCAACATTGTTTCTAATTTTATCTTGAAATAAAACATTATAAAAAAGTTTTCTAATGGAAATTAAAACTACCATTAGCTGCTAAGTAGCATAGTTTGAAGCAATCTTTTTTCCCACGCTACATCTATATAAAAAGAAACCTCTATCTGATCATAAAAACTTTGTGGTTTGGCATTTTGATGAACTGGCTTGTGAAAGTCATGCAAAATCCTTTAAAAAGCTTTTTAATTGGCTGAGTGCAAACCATTGATGCAGATTATTTATTAATAAAAGCGAAAAATAAGTTATTCAGACAAGGCAAGTTGTCAGCTCTACTCTGCCTTGTTTTCAGGTTATGTGTGCAGATACGTTGTGTGGGATTATATTTTAGTCTTGTTTAAATCACCCTTTATGGGGTTCTAGTAGTTTTCCCTCTAAAAGCTCATTATCGGATGGCCTGTTCTATGATTTATGTTTTTAGATCATTTTGCAAAAATAGGGTAATATATAAATTTCACACAGCAGTATTTTGATTCAAATTGTGGATCTCATTTGATATTGCATTTCTAGTCTTCTGATTGGCTCATTTCACTCCGGTCATCAGCTTATATTCCGAGTCACCTTAGATGGAAATGTATTTCGCCAAGTGTTGCAAACTGGAAATCTTTGCAGGAAGCAAAATTTTCCACAGACAAAATTCTTAACAGTTTTCCACTAAACATGGACAGTGATAAAACAGTTTTTTCTCGGGGGGAGGAGGAGAGAAGGGTTTGAATTGTTAAAGAGGATTTCCTGGCAACTTGGAACATGCAATTTTCGTAACTGAGTTTGCAACTTTATTTATCATTACCTTTCAGGATCAAAAGCTCAATTTTGGAAGACGGGAGAGTGTAAAGCCATCTGCTTATATAAAGAAGCATAACTTCAAGGTAACACTGATTTTCCAATTGTCTATCACAACTTATCTGGAATTGTGTGAATCAGCCCACCTTTATGTTAAACAACCTGGACTGATGTGCTGTTCTTTCTGTTCCAGATTCACACATTTAAGGGACCTCATTGGTGTGACTCTTGTCGCAATTTTTTGTGGGGGTTGATCATGCAAGGCCTCAGGTGTCAAGGTAGGGTCACACAAACTCTATTAGCAAGCTATCATTCTAGAGATCATTTTTTGTCATAAACAAAATGCTCTTAGGCTTATTAGGTTAATAAGTTGGGGAGTTTGATGGTAATAAATGGAACCATCTCCCACGGAAAAGGGATGGGGCCTTCTTGAAGTGGCATCTTATCCAATAACTTAAAAAAAATGTTTAAAATTCCTTGTAGCTTAGTTTTTGAGCAAGGCCTTCAATTGCAATCAAAGATTGAAGTTACACTGTTTATTGTTCATGTATTTGTTCATTTTTTATTTTTGGAAAGCCACTTTAGTGAACTCTTATTTGATGACTAGGGGAGATTCTCTTGTTGTCTTATCATGTATCTGAATAATTTCAGATTGTGGCTTCAATGCACACAAGCAGTGTGGTGAAGTTGTTCGTGAAAACTGCCAACCAGATAAGAGATTTGTAAAAAGAGGTGAGGGATAGAAAAGTCCCCTTTTTGTGACACTTGTCCCATTGTAACTTAAAAGGTGCCTCTTAAAAGGTTCTTTGGTCACATTGTTTCTGGGTGTAATACGAAAAAGGCTAGATTTGCAGGTACTAATGCACAGTTGAAGTTTGAACTACAGTAAGTGCCTCAGTAGGAGCCATTATTAGTTAATGTGGACAACATACTGAGGTGGAGCAATTTTCAGTTTTTCAGAACAGTGCTGTGCAAATGTTTTGCAAATGCCTATTGGCAAAATTCCTGGCTTTTCAACAATCTTTGGTCCAATACGAAATTTGTGAGACATTACAGGGAATTTTTGAGGCAGCTAGTGGTTGGATTCATCTGAAACTTTGTGGATTAATTCAGTTGGGATCTTAGAGGGTCTTGAAATGTTGAGAGAAAGTTAATTCCTCACAAGTATTGGTGAGGAACTTTTTGGAGAAAACTCGTGTCTTGTTATTATAGCAAACATAGTGTTTGTGAAGCCCATTCTCAAAACCAATCTGATTACAAGAATTGTTGCTTGTGCACAAACAAAAATGGGGAAGAAGTACAGACTATTGGAGACAACAGTGTTGTGTCAATGTTTGCCATTATGTTTGTACATTGCAGTATTTGGTGTTGACCTAACAACACTCGTCAAACTACATAACACCAAGAGACCTTTTGTTGTAGAAACATGCATCAAGGAAGTGGAGAGAAGAGGTATTTTTTCATTCAACTGCTAATAAGACTGTTTATTATCGAGAATTAATCATTTTACAAATGTGTAGTTCAGAAAAAATTCATACCCCCCACAGAGGATTTTCTGTTTACGACCCCCTCCCCCCAGGAATTTCTATTCCAGAGGGTAGTCAAGGACCCCCCATCCCCCCTGGAATTTCCGTTATTTTGAAGTACCCCTGTGGAAATATTACAAATCACTTTTTTAAGAGAATGACAACTAACTTGCTTGAACCCAAACTAAACAAAGTCACGGATAGCGTTAAATATAGCGGCACAAGACATGATCTTTGCATAGAATGACAATGCCATTATTATTTCATTGAGATAACAGTAAATTCTGAAACAACATATCCTAGATATTGGAACAGATTCTCTTATAAATTTATTCCTAACAAAATCAAAAGGTTCAGGCCTTTTATAATATAAAGATGTTATTTTGGTCACATTGAATGTGGTTGAAACTTGTTTTACAATTTCCTGATGTCCAATGTCATGCACGCAACAATTAAGTGGTCAAAAAATAGTTATTCTTTTTTGTTAAGTCAACATCTTAAAAAGAATCATTTAATTAGGTTCTTTTTCTAGAGCGCAAATTTTATAATCTTTTAAATAGATAATGTAAGAAGTCCTGGTGTTTTACATACTTTACCTACCATGGGCATCCAGTCTATGGAGCGGCAAATGAAGCCTAAAGTGTAAATCATTTGAAATGGAAACGAGAAGCCGCCACAAACATAACCAGAAAGCTGAAGAATAAAATGTATGTTCTGTCATCCTTTTAACCTGAAAACAGATTGTAAGAACTTAATTTATGACAAGTTCGCCAACAGCCTTTATGCAACTAAACAAACACGGCGAAATTGCTGTGTAGCATAACTTCGTTTCCACTTGAAGTCTTTGTTTTCTGATGTCGTCAACCATCATTAGTTTGTCCATTTAAAACATCTTCCCAACGAGAATGTAGTTCATAACCAATTGGCATTGGTGAATGCATTTTGGTATTTATGGTAGATATAGGCATTTTTCTATCTTTATTGAAGCCGACATTCAGTTAACGGAAGTCAAAAACACAGTAGCGCGTCAGATGAAACTGGGAATCTGGTGATGAGTCCTGTTCATCCGCCATTTTGAGTTTCAAAATTATACACACCATCCAGACTTGTTCTTCTGGAGGTTGAGGCGTTAGCTAACTTAAAGAGGAAGCAGAAAAATTAATTATTTTGATGTTAACCTCATCACAATGGTCAGGAACAATTATTTTTGTTTCAAAACAACGTAACATAAGTATGTGCTTCAAATCGATCGGCTCACCCTTTGGAAGAATAGCTTCCCATGAAACCCCCCCAACCCCTCAGAAATTACTGCCTTTGGAACTCCCCTCCCCCTCGGAATTTCCAGTGACCTTCCATATGGGGATATGGATTTTTTCTGGAACTACACAATAGGCCAAGTGGAGATAAAACATTTTTTTTTTTTTTTCAATTAGCCAGATTGAACAATTTGGCCACTTAAAAAATATGATTTGAAAATGTATTCCCTTTGCTTAACTCATATTCAGACTCATAAGCAATCACCAATTGAGTGCATGAAAATTCAACCAAAAAAAATAAAGAGGGAAAAACTGCATGCATCTCATTTCATGAAGAACAGTGAAATGTATAAACTCAGTGGTAACAAGCAAGAAAATTATGCTGGTCAAAAGTCAAAATTTCTGGTCACCCCCTCAACCAGTTGGTTGCAGTTTTGGCCCTTATCATTGATATATTTAAATACTTTGTTGGAAAAATGGGTCACAAGCTTCATTCTGGGCTAGCATAACCCTAGAGTAGACATCTATATTTAAACAGGATAGCCCCTTCAGTGTAGTAAACACTGGTATCAACGGGGGTCCTGTTACCCACCCATCCCACCCCAGGGGAGGACATCCATCACACAGTAATCTCGTGCGTGGGAAATTAATGTCTCCTGCCCCTAACCCTTTAGGAGACGGGACTTCCATTTATTCGTCCCTATCCGAGAAGACTAGAATATCTAATCATTTCTTGATGTTATAGAAAGGTAGCATATTCTTCTCAATTATTTMAAGACCCTGAGTGTTGGTCTGGTCGGGGCTCAAACCCTCAACCTCTCGCACAACAGTCCAGCGCTCTATCCATTGAGCTAACCCTCAGTCATCTCATCTCTGTTGCAGGATTGGACAGTGAGGGAATCTACAGAGTATCAGGTTTTGCTGATGATGTTGAAGCACTTAAAAATTCTTTTGATAAAGGTAACATCAGCTCTAAAATCTGCCTCTAAAATTTGTCTTGCTTCCAATGTTTGAGTTTTGCAATCCAGTTGGTAATAGTGTGCAACTAGTATCTTAGAGGCACAGGTTTGAATCCCATCAAAGTTTAAATTTCTTCAGGCTTCTTTTCTGAAGTTGCTTGTGTGTAAATTGTAGTCCACCTGTGAGAATTGTTTTTGCTTGATTTTAATTGGAAGATCCAATGAAATATTTTGAAATATAAAATTGTGTATCACTCTTTTTTTGTGCTAGAATCAGATGGATTTTGTCTAAGTTCAGATGTATTCTTTTTCCCAAATTAAATTGTTTTGATAATGGAGTGTCAGTTATTTCTGTTATGTTGGGTTAAAATAGATTTCATCCAAGTTCAAAATATATCACCCACTCCCCCCTGGATGGGATTGTGGTCCATCCCAGGGCTACCCCCCAGCATAAATTTGCCAGTACCCATTTAAACACCTGGGTGAAGAGAGGCACTGTGAAAGTAAAGTTCTTGCCCAGGAACACAACACAATGTCTCCGTCCAAGGCTTGAACCCAGACCACTCAATCTGGAATCAAGTGCACTAACCATGAGGCCACAGCACCTCCCAAAACAGTCAGTATGTTGTCCAGGTGCTCACATTGAGTTGGCCTCTCTGTATAGATGGAGAACAGGTGGACTTGTCAGTGTATGAAGATATAAATATCATTTGTGGAACACTCAAGCAGTATTTCCGTATGCTACCCATCCCACTCATCACTTTTGAGTTGTACAACAAATTCATAGATGCTGCAAGTAAGTGAACTAAACTTCTCATTTGATATTTTAATTTTCATAAATGCTTCAATAAGCATCTGGGGAAGGGCTGTGAAGGTGTCTCGGGTGAATAACTGCTGTATTTTGGCAATTTGTGTTACTGTGCTGCTAGAGCTGCGAAATTCAGATATTTAAAACAAGAACCTTTAGGCACTCACGGATTCAATTGGTTATCAGTTTACCAACTTCCTTTGGTTTTATGATAGGTACCTTTAGGTTGTCTTCTTTAGTTTTGTCAGGTTCACCAGGAAATTATGATAGACCAACCTGTTTACTATTAATAAAAAACACTTTTTTTTTCCAAAATCCAGAATCATCAAGCAGAAAAGAGAAGATGGAGGAACTATCAAAGGCTCTGTTAGAACTTCCTGCTTCACATTACGAAACACTAAAGTTCCTCTTGGGACACTTGTACAGGTTAGTACTTGTAGTAACATGTCAAAGTGGACTCAATGTCATTAGTAAGTCAGATGTTTCACCATGTCTTGAAAAGAATCAAGAGAGACTTCTCTTAGAAAGGGATATTTTTGTGGTTTTGTGAGATAACTGCTAGGAATGAACTGGTACCAAAAATACAAATATTTCCATGAGTCAGTGGTACTCTTTGGTCTCTAACAGAAAATTTATATTGACAGGGCCACAGTTGTGGAAAATTCAAAACCACATTTATTTGGTTGGAAGTTTGCTTGACTCGTTTCTCTTTTTATTATTTACAGAGTTGCCAAAAAGAAAGCAGTGAACATGATGAATGAAGAAAATCTGTCCATTGTTTTTGGGCCAACACTTATGAGGTCTCCAGATTCTGACTCACAAGATGTTCTTACTGACTTGAAATTGCAAAGACTTGTGATAGAAAGCCTTATTACAAATCAAGATATTCTATTTGATAGCTAATTGCAACAAGAAGCACAGAAGTTTAGGTTAAGTTCATCCTTGTGGTCAGATGGCTGGTACCCTGCTGGCAGAGGTGTTTATTAGTTAACTTCCCCCAACAGTCCACGTAAAAATAAAGTCCTCTGTGCTCGGCCTGTTAAATCTTCTTTGTGCATGCGCCTGGAAATTATCAAAGTTTGTGGATAATCTGATTTGCAAAACTGGTCAGAACCTGTTTTAAACACGTTTTTATGTGCATGCATCCTATTTAGCTATATAGCAAGACTGAGTACTACCGGGAACTAATTTGTTTCTAAGCAACAGGCCGCACATGCTAGAAGAAGATTTAACAGGCCAAGCGCAGAGGACTTTATTTTTACGTGGACCGTAGGGGAAGTTAACAAATAAACGCCTCTGCCAGCAGGGTAGATGGCTGATTGGGATGACAAAAAGTTAACTAGTCGCTATAGATTTATTTAAACATGGAGTTTTATTTGTATTCTCACTGTGGATCAAACTGCTTTCAATTGGTATCTTATGCCAGAGGAAAAAGTAGACTAACATTGAGAGTAACTCTAAGTGATCAGTTCAAAAAGTTTTGGGTTTCAAAATCTGTTATGTGTTATTATTTTTTCAAGGTTGATATTAGGAGTTTCCAATTTAATTAAAGAACTATTTTGGAATTCAAATAGAGCTGATATTATATGGCTCACCCAGGAGTGGGTGAAACGAAGCACATTCTGGCTACCAAGGCAGGAAAGATGATTCAATCTTGGCAGCAGGGAATGGCTTACTTTGATCCCATAAAAACGAATTGATTTTGGCTGGTTCACACTCTCCATAATCTCAAGGTAACCTAATAGTGTTTCAAAGAAACGTATTGCACTCTAAAGATTTTAATACTTCACTTTTAAGCATTTTGGCTGTCAAAATATATTCTCAGATCCCATTTTTATCTTACTGAGTTTTCAAACATCGCTTATCCTCTCACTTTGCGATAAATTACAATCATAATGATACAAAAAGTTTAATTGTATTCTAAGATACACAGTTTGCAACTTTTGTTATTTAAAACAATGTCAAGTTGCAAAATATGTGGTTGTAGTTTTTTTCCAATGAAACTTATGATAAATTTCGAAGAAATAATTAAAATGTAAATATTGAACATTAACTTAGGAGCCTCGAATCACGAAAAGATGTATTGCTATGCACAAATTGTGTTTGGAGTTATACGCCTTGGCCTGGGTCAGAAATTGCATTTTATTAATCAAAGTTAATTGCTTACAAAGATGTTGGGTCATTTAAGACATCAAATTCATTGCAAAGTTATCCAGTAATAAGCTGAATTGCTTACACATTTTGATTGGTTCTTGGTTGTGATCCATTGGAGGACAGATGCCTAGATGACTTCACCATTAACAATTTTTTGCTTCTTCATTACTTGAAACAAATAAATTCCACCTTGCCATGGGTCTGTTGAGTCAAAGTACAATTAGAACTTCACTGACCAACTTTCGTGTGTCATCTGTGCCAGTTATTTTTAGATCACTGAGGAAGAGATGCATAGCAACATGGAATGTATTTGTTAAATACATATCAGATTATCGTTTTCTGTCTGCTTTGAGCTCACCAGAATGGTTTTCACATGAACAAAGGCAAACATTGATCCTGTAAGTAATTTGATGCATCTAAACTTTGTTGCTATTAATGTGCCAAACAATCTGAAGCCTCAACATCCCTCTCCCCCTAAGGCAAAAATTGTGTTCAATGTTTAAAGATAACACACTTGTGTTCTGCTTGAAATACTTGGTGTACCAGGTTAACATTCCCCACACCAGCCAGGCAAGGTTCCAATTCCTCACACCCCAGGCATGGGTGGCAGTCCTACATGCCCATGGGTTTCCTGGTTTGGGGAGGGGGGGGATGTTAAAGCTTCAAAGTGACCAGTGCGTAATTGTTTAGGGACCAGTGCGTAATTGTTAATTATCAGAGTCACTCATTAGAAGGAATTTTTGTTTTGCAGTAGGTTGATATGTTTTAATTTGTCCATAATGTGATGTCTAATCCTGGCTGTAGCTTGATATTTTCTAAGGAAATGATATTAGAAATGAAGTAAATAATCAATCATGGTCTTTAAAATGGAAAAAGAAGAATTAAACCCCCTAGTGATAAATTATAAAGAAGAGAATGGTGTGGTTTTGATCCTTGATTTGATGTGATGCTTATTTTGTTACCAGTGAGTCATTTCAATGCTTTTTTTTGGGTTTGTTGTATCAATAAAAAATAGACAAGGTTGAGTCTGTTTATGACCCAAGTGGCCTATCAGGCCGGCACTTAGTTCCCATTTCGTAGCTTCGTAGCATGAAACTACTAGAAGTATTTCTACCCCCCCCCCCTTGTTGATGGGATGCAAGTATTAAATTTGCTAGTACCCATTTAAACACCTGGGTGAAGAGAGGCACTGTGAGTGTTAAGTGTCTAGCCTGAGAACACATTAATTATAGAACATTTATACTGTCATAGAAAAAAAACAATTCTCTGAATGAGGTGTAAATTTTTTTGTTGTCGTCAAACAAGGTGAATGTTGATGTAATTTATTCCAGTGTGTCACAGCACAGTTTTGTGTGGTGTGCTGTTATTTAACTAACCCTTTGCCTATGAAAATGGTTTAGGCAATGCTGACCAATAGGACAGAAAGCCTTGCCAGCAAATCTTGACTAGGGGAATTCTGGCAGGTTTCCGAACATCAACATTCAAGTAAAACAAGGAAATGCCTTAACATTTGATGAAATTTCAAAGGAGATATACACTCTGTCGTGCTGCATCATTGTCAGCTTGACTTTTCATACTTTGTATGTTGATGAGACAAACAGTCCTAAATAATGTTTAAAAATATTTCCTCATACCTGCCATGTTACTTCCCACCCACAAATTCTTGTCATGACAAAAATATTAGGTTCATCAGATGTCATCTGATGACCCAACACTTATGGAAATTATTTTGCCAGTTGAATTGAACTTACACCCAATCTGAGTCTTTAAACTCAAATCCAATCAAGTCTAGCCAGTGGAATACAAGTGTTTTATCCATAAATATGGAGGAGTTCTAAGGTAAAGAGTTCACTTTGGTCAGCGAATGGCTCAGAAAAAAGGTACACAGGGTCAAGGTTTAAAGCTTGGTCAATGAGTAAAAATGTCAGTCAATGGTTATGACTTTTATGAAGAGAAAAGTGACCATCAAATCTGGCACTTGGGTAGGGAATTTAAGCATAAATTTGGGGACAGGAATTCAAACAAACCAACCTTTAGAAGTTCAAATGCCAAGGGGGGAATGCTGAAGTTCAAATGCTAGGGAGAATGCTGTTTCAAATTGATCAATGCATTACTTACTCAGTACAGAATTTCAAAAAGTCATTTTCCTTTTTCATTAAAAATGGGAGTGATGCCTGGATGGGGCTTAACAAAATCTGTGAAGGGCATTAATTACATTATGAATGATTGATATTTTAACTTGATAAAAAATGAAACTTGTAAACCTTTTTAATGGTTAAAACGTACATTACATAATCTCAATAAAAATCATTTTTCTCAAAAACTTGCAGTTTCAAGTGATTCAGTATAAAAAGAAAAAACAAACAAGACATTCAGAGATCATTAAGCTGGCTACCCAACAACATAAAAATGTTACTTGTGTCTTCTACTGTATTGCAAAACAAAAAAGTTGTAAACTTAAGATATGACTTAGTGAACTGGTTATGGCCATCAGTCTCTTCAGAATTGACACTAATGCCACTCAAAAATTAAATATTCACAAATGATGTTGAAACATTTTATATACATAACATTATAAGATGTTGTAATTTGTTATAGGCTAGAACAAAATTCTGGCAGTTTTCTTCTAAATGTACCAAATATTTGCAACTTTTCCACTGATTCCAGGCATTGAATACTGCGTATCCATCTGTTACCCCGCTTCCTCCATAACTTCACTTCACAGCATGGCTTTAAGGCATTATGTACACAATGTTACAGAATTCCTGCATTTGACTAATTAACCCAAAAACAATTCAGTCTACCAACAGTCTGTCTAAAGCAATGTTGCTTCTGCTATCACTCCTTCTTTTCGGCTGCCTTTGCTTCAAGTTTTTCCTGCAGTGCTGTTACTCCAATTCCAGCAATAATTGAACCCACTACACAACTCTGTGCAATTACTCGTAATCTCATTAGATATCTACTGGTGGTCATAGCAGGTCCTCTATTCTTGTATGCGATTGCACCCCATACACAAGCAGCCACTGTTCCAGCAATTCCTGCAATAAAACAAGAAACCAATTGGTTTATTTCTCTATAGAGACTTGTCAATAAAATTATTTTAACCCATCCTGGGATGCTTAAGTGCTTACTTTCCCCAGTTATGCCTTCGTACAGAACAGATATAATTGAATACAAATTATTTTAAGGAGACTGAAGGAAGATAGTCTAAAGGGAAAAAAAAAATGAAGAATTATCAAAACAAGGGGTGAGATAGGGCGACTTAGTTAGAAATAAGCTAAGAGTAAAATTTTGCAACCTTAACTTTAGAAGACAAAAAAAGTACATCTTTAAAATTTTAAATTTCTGTGTCAAGTAGAGCTGCACGCAATCGGGAGTATCAACAGCGGTAGATCCAATTTATCGAAGAAAACTGAGAAAGCCACTTTCTAGAGAACTAAACAACACTGAAGTATTTTAGACAGCAGTTCTTTGGTTCATATTGCTGAACAATTAGTCCGACGCTTTCCTCAGTCATGTTCAGTATTGAATGTCACCGTAAGCGATGTAACATTTGGCATGTAAATGCTTTAGCTAACACCTATGCATCCATCTCATCCAAGAAAACCAAATCGAGAAAACAGTGTAAAATCCCAAGGCCACAAATTTTTTACTACGAAACCAACCAAAATTTTCGTACAAGTTTATACTACTGCTTCAAGCAGATTTAAGATCATTAAAACCGCCCGATATAACAATTAGTTATTCTCTTATGTAAGCTAACTAAGATTTCAGGCGGTGACATTTACAGCCGGCCGGCCAAATCATCAAAATAGAAAAAGCTTGATTGTAAACGCCACAAAAATCCTTTAAATAATGGCAGCTTTGAAACAGAAAGATGGCGGAAATCTTTGTGGAGGACGTAAGGGAAAAAAAATCCTTTCTACGATCAGAACACGATGTTTATTCTACGCTTATTTACGTTTTTAAATGCAAGCTCGATCGCTCAACTCACCGATTGGAATGAAAGGTTGCTGTTTGCTTTTTCTCACAAGTCTGTCTGTCTCTGTTTCTTTTTCAGCATCGGTCATAAACTCTGCACTCAACTTCTGTGCGTCTGAACGGGACATTTCGTCGTTTCTTTGGACAGTTTTCCTCAGATGATCAATGATTCGATTGAAGCTCTTCCGATTTCCCTCGCGGCTCAAATACACTCGGGATTGTGCAATGTCGTCATGACGTCACAAGGATCGTTCTAAATCTGTGACGTCAAAAGTTTTAGCACGTTCTTTTTACTTCTTAAATATTTTGCAGTTGAAACTCGCTTCAACAGTTCTTTAGGAAAAGCAACTATGTTTGGGAGTGACGCAAAAAATTCCTGTTCTTCTCGTGGTTTTAATTGGATCGAAGACTACTGATTTCTTTTATATTTTGTCTTATGTCTTTTTGTCTTCTTGGTCTTTTTTTTATCACGGAAAGGAGTAGAAGGGGCTGAAATGTCACGCTATTTCGAGTTTATAAAATTTTACTTAAGCGTCTGAAAAAAATGACAATCTTAAATCTTGTTTTCAGAGCAAGAAGAACTCCACAGAAAAATCAGAAAAGATTAGGATGGTTACAGTTTGAAAGCGAAAAGAAAAAGGAAGATCTAGCAACCCAGACGCTTTAAAAAAATTCAGTCCCCTTTCATTCGACCTTTTTGTTAATTTTTTTGCTTCGTTTTGTCTTGTTTTCTTTTGTTTTTGGGATAATAGCGATACTGTTAAAATCACACGAATACAACATGACAAACCAATATTCCAATGTTATCTGACATTTGTCACGTTTCACCATCAACGTTCATTCACGCACTGAGCGATGCGTGGGCGGCTATCGATCTGTATGACGATATTGCCTGGGTATCAATATTGAGACTACTCCTAAACACCTGACAATTATCAAATAAAATCCCAGTTAAATCCAAAGTGATTTTTTTTTGTCTGCTTGCGTGGGAAAATGCTAATTTTGAGCGAGTGCGCTAAAAATATTTTGATGCACTGCGGAAGTGTCACAAACAGCTGGCGTGTGATCACGAACAGGGATGATTTTTAATTCGTCTTCAAAGGAAGTCTACGCTCGCAGCACTTTAATTTTTTTTCTATTTTATTTCTTTTGAATTAAAAAAAATACTGTTTTCGAATCAAAATAGTTTTTTTTTTGTATGTCATTATCGCCTTGAGGATTTTTCCCTTTCACTTAAATTGAAATACATAGGCGTACTATCTGCCCAACCGAATTTCCCCAACCGAATTTCCTTTACATACATTCTTTGATGATTCCCTAGGACTTAAAAATCAAGGCTGCTCACAAAACTGTAAAATCTGTGACACGAAATGACTACCTTTCTGCAGGTTTTTTTTTCCTGAAATCCCTTTGTTCGGGTGATTTCTGGTTCAAAGTCATTCTTTCTTTCTAGTGCTGGAAATGCGTAGAAGAATCCATCGTTTATAAAGAATGCTATGTCACGGTTGCGAACGTGACACTGAATGTCATTTGACATGCACTTGTGACGTCATTCTACCGGGCAAGAGGCAAAGGGTTGACCTTTGGGTTTCCTTTTGTCGTTAAAGCTTTTCCGTGCATTGCAAAATTTAACTGGTGGTTTTGAGCGCGCCTTAAAGCAAACAGGTAATGAGAACACTTAAAGCAAACAGGTAATGAGAACACTTAAACTTATCAGGCAGAAGTTGCTATCTTGATCTAACTCCAAATTCTCTCAACTAATTTAGAAGGAAATGTGTAACCGGTGGAGAGGAGAATTAACACTCAGATCTTGGGTGTTAAAGGCTTAACTTAAGCACACTTTAAGCTTTTCAGCCCGGAATATAGCGACACTCCGGCAGAAATTTCCCACCCACCTTCTACTTAGGCTTACGTGTCTATGATAATTTGGTTTTATCAACTGAGTTGATTTTAATTGTAAATCGATCGCCGTTAAGAGTTTTAAAGCTAACGTTTCGAGCTTTATAGCCCTTCGTTACACGATCAGATGATGCTCAGGACGTGCGGGCTAACGCTAGCTCGAAATGTCAACTCGAAAAAATTCTTAACAGTAACAATTTACATTATTAACTCATTCGATAAAACCAAATCACCGACCGACCGACGCATTACCACATTTTCTTTACTGAATTTCCCACTCTATTCATTTGTGTAATCTTTGTTTGTTGTTTTGTTATTGCAGTTTGGGGGGATTGTCATTTATGTTTGGTGGATTTAAATTCATTGATCGCAGTGTATAGTATTTAATAGGATTTTAAATAATTCTATATCGCTATTTAATAATATGTGATCCCAACACTGACTCGATAACACAGTGAGCTTTTTTTGTGCGCGTTTGTGTGAAAAAAAAAAAACCTCAACCTTTTTATGATAACGGTGATAAAAAAAATTAAAAAAGCAATTAAGACTGCAAAACATTTCTCAGCTACGCTAAAGTTCATACAACTTTCAACTTTTCGTTTCTAACACTTGCCTAAACCATTTTGCGGTCACACAGTCTTCTTTGTATCCAGAAGGATCACGTTAAAGGATCAGGAGTATCCTTGTGTAAATGCAGAAATTCAGGCATTCGTCCATTAGCAACTCTGCGTGTGTTTGTAATGTTGTGAACTAAAGCTTTCAAGAACTTCCTCTCGTTGACGGAAATCACTTCAACTTTTGTGTTCACAACATTTCTTGTAGGAATGGGACGAAATGCGATCGCTTGTTGTGTATAAATTAAATACTGTTAGGGACAATAGCTCTTGGATGAATAGGAATCTCCAGTGCTTGGTTACGTTCGTTTTCTTTGCCGGTGTTCACGTTCGAGCGATAACTGAGCTTCTTTCTCACTTAGCTCTCATCAAAGTTGTTTAGACTATTTGTCAGCGGAAACTGAGTTTAAGAGGATCAAATGCTGCAATATCTTTCAAGATAATTGGCTCATCATTATCAACTTAGCAATTTTAGTATTTGCTACTGTATCCATATAGTTTGGTTCTTTGGAGAATCTGTGCTAAGGCTCTCACGAATACCTGTCCGGAAAACAGCCATTTAGCCTCAAATGACTCTCTACTACCGGTTGACATTCCATTTTCATCAATTGTACCGATTTGAATGCTTCTTTGACTTTGGAAAGTGAAACATTTTTTCGCGTGATGGTTGTTAGCGTCAAGATTTAAGTCCACTTGACACTGAAAACAAAACGATCAAGCCACAATGGGGCGGAAGTGGTCACTGTGTATAAAAATAAACTTGGTCGTGCATCGCCGATTGCTGTAGCTAATCCGCCTAAAGTTTATGTCGGAATTAAGATTAAAACGCTTTGTAAGTAGAGAGGCTCTTGCCGCTAAGATCTATTTCGTTCATAGGATTCAAGTCGGATTCCCCACTTTGTACATAGACTTGAGAGTGTAAGGTTCGGCGTTGTGATAAATTTACCTCGATTGGAGTCCACTGATGTGTTTAGGAGACGACAGAATCATTCAGTGAAGCACTTTAATATGTTCTCTTCTTCTAGATCCGCTGTTGTCAAATTTCGTCTATCTGCAACATGTATTTATTTATAGCGTTTACGAAATTTTTTTTCGTTTTTCTCTTTCTAAACTGTATTTGTTCTCAAGCTTTCGTAAATTTAGTTATTGCTCTGAACATCGAAACCATGAAAATATGATTCTGTGAACTCTATTCGATCGAATTCGATGTCATTCACCGCTGCATTTTCTGCGGCCACTACAACGTATGTATGACAACTGCAAAAACCAAACCTCTGCGTTTGAATTTTTTTTACTCGAAATCGGGATAACCGGTGGAAATAAACATATCAGACCAATCCAAAGTTTCAGCCGCAATTTCATCAGTTTCAAATTAAATTTGAGACGAACTCAAGACCGCGCACGTTGTGCTGAATAAAAAAGAAGACACCGATACAGATTGTGCGATGCTGCAGGTGACGAAACAAAAAAAGCCGACAAAATTAAAAAAATCGAATAAACATATGAACGAATCTTTAACCTACTTTAAGGAAATACAACTCTTTTTAAACTTGCATTAGAAATTCAAGGGAATTCTGGTAATGATTTATACTGGTGACAGACGAAAATAATTTTATTACAGAATTATCGCTTGCTATCTATCCCAGTGCGTGACTCACAAATGGTAAACGCGACAAAAGAGCGGAGATGGTATCGATTTCAACCACCTGAAAAAGTTCAAATCACATATTTCTGCGAGGGTTATTTTTGTCAAGTAAACTATTGTCAAACAGCTTGCATATTGTGTATTTCACAAATTTGCGATTTGGCGCGAAGTCGGCTTTTCGATTGGTTCTTCCATTCTCACATAACCACCACAACAGCCGCAACGAAATTGAAATCTGAGTCTATTTTAAAATTCAAAGGCGGTCGGCCGATTCGTTGTTATTGAAGTATGGAGATATTAAATACAAATTATCAATATTCTATGCGGTATTTTCGTGGGCGTTCGCGATCAGAAGAAACCTTATCATAAGTTACGAACAGACGACCCGAGACGGCAAGTGAACAAAGGCTCAATCGACATCCTGTAGTGGTCTGCGGTTGAACAACTGACTCGTGACATCAGTTTTACATTGTATCGTTGCTCCATTGCATGCCTTGTTTTATCGTCGGATCTGTGTTACACTGCTCAGATATACAGTTACATGTACAAGAGCCTGATTTAGCAGCATTTGATTTGAGTTGAGGAGTGATACGGAAATCGTCTGTGGGATGCGTGGATAGAATCTTCCATCGCGGCGCAGTTCGAGAATTTTGCATCGTTCAGTGTGGCCGAATTTCAGTTTGTTTACACTCTCTACATAAGTTACATGCGCGATCGACCGAGGTTTATCGCATCCTTGATGACAAAGTGACGGCTTAGCCGCGCAGAGCGGGGAAAATTTCAGCTTTTACCATAATGTGTGGCCAGTCGGGATTGAATTGACCTCAAAGTATGGCTAAACAATGACTTTATCGTTCACCCAGGTGGAACAGTGGCTCGATGACCATCCAGAACATGCTGAGGAATATTTTGTGCGTAAGGGAACCGCGCGAATGGTTCAACTATGGAATGAAGCGAGAGAAGAGTGTGCCGATCTCTTCGACACAAATGTTGAGCTTATTGAGAACTGCAGTAGAAGAAAAATCGGAGAGAAGAATTTTCGTTTCAACGATACAGTGGATATTATAAATGCGAGCGAGGAAGGGGAAAGTGAAGCTGGTCAACCAACATCTCGGTCATCACCTTTAACGCGCAGGTACTCCGAACCTCAGCGTCAGGGGAATCCGAAGCGGCAACTTGGTTTGGGTTATGGAGGCAAATTGTTTTTTACAAAACCAGTATCTTCCAGTGTTGTTGATTCTCTAGATCTGAGTACTTGTGAAATTCGGGAGGAAAAAACGAAACGAGTGAGAAGTCCCCCTTCACGACAGCTTCGGAAAACGAAGTCGCTGCCGAATTGTGGACAACAGCATGTATTGGGGGCACTAATTGAGTCAAAAATTCGTCTACCATCTCCAATCGGCCTGAACGCTGAGACAAAGCTAGATTTGAAGAATAACAATGAACGGCAATTCTTCTTCGAGATTGTACGGGACATAGCGAACGATCTGGACCTGACGACTCTGAGTTATAAAATATTAGTCAATGTTGGGATTCTAACAAACGCTGATCGGTGTTCATTGTTTCTTGTGGAGGGACCAAAAGGTAAACAGTCACTGGTTTCAAAGGTTTTTGATGTGCAAGTTGGAGGGCCGAACTCGACATCTATTAAGGATTTCATAGACCAGCAGAAGGAAATTCGAGTGCCTTGGGGCAAAGGACTGGTGGGGTACGCGGCAGAAACTGGAGAAACAGTTAACATCCCCGATGCATATGCGGTTTGTAACGTTTTAACTATAAATAAATCATTAGGGATTTTAGGCGTATGTAAACCACATTCGCTTGCTTGAATCGCCGTTGATTAAACGTTTCTTGCAAACGATACCCCTTTTCACGTCGCGGAAAAAGGTGACATGACCATAAATTATCGGACCAGTGCTTTCGAATCGATGCAATCAAGTGTGTCTTCGAATTTTGATCAGTCGTTCGAATCTCGTACCGCGCGAGAATAATGTTCGAGCTTTCAGTTCAAGCAAGCAGATTTGCCTTTTTGTACATTAACCGGATAGCTTACACCCAACTTGCTGCTTTGTTTGGTGCCCGCAATTTTCTTTGAGTCGTATGGACTTGGAACCCCGAATACCATTTGCAGAAATTAAATGGGATGGCCCGAATCAAACGAAGTGGGACGGATACCTATTTTTGTTCCCTATTAATTCAGTTCCATTTTATTTGTATTTTACCAACTGAAGCGCATTCAAAGAAAGGCAAACGAGAACTTAAACGCTTTGTGGAAAATCCGCGCTTTTCGATTTCAAAATAGTCCGGAAACTATCCTTGATAAAATCCCGCGTATACTGAAAGGTATTGTACAAGAAACTAACATTTAGCATGTTAAAACAAATGCACCTTTCGTCTTTCCAGCTGATGTATCATGATTTCGCGGTTTTCTAAATTTGCATGAGCTCTTTTGGTCGTATCTGGGGACAAAATCGTGTTGTCAGCTGAAAACACTTTAAAATCTTTTGAGTTATCAAATCTCACTCAAATTCGATATAATGTTATCACACCGACGTTTCTCCAACCGGTCTGAGATTGTTATGATGGCTTATTAAGCTATAAAGTTGAAATTATGCACAACGAGTTATGCGTTCGTGAAAACAATGTTCGCGTTTCGCACTTCAGCGGGCGAATTGATTGTTTTCATTTCTCGGAGCGATCGATTCTTGCAATCTCTTTTTTTTTTTTTGTGTTTGTTTTTGTTTTTTTTTTTTGTACAACACTTTTTTAACCTCTGAGAATGTTAAGCATTTAAATTACAGCTAAATGAAATCAACAGTGTGACCGCGGCTCTGATGCAAGAAATCGAAATTTTTTAAGTTCCGACATTTATTGCTTTTTGCGGCTTCTACTACAGTAATTTTCAATTTAGTTCTGTCTTCCTACACGTGATTTGGATGATCAGTGGAGCGCAATCAACTTGTATCCAGACATAAAGGCTATCCCAGTGCGTGACTCACAAATGGTAAACGCGACAAAAGANATTTTTTTTTTTTTTTTTTGCCGAGGCTAGCTTGAATAAACAAACGTAAAATAGTCTCACAAAGCGCAGCGTTATAAAACTTATAAAATCCATTTAGTGTCTACTTATTGAGTTCATGGACTCTTCATTAAATCTCTACACTTTAGAGAGAATTTAAAACTTGTAACTTCTCCTTTCAGTGTGACCAAATTATCTAACAATTAAGGTTAAGGAAAGTTCAAATTCCAAATTCTCATAGCATAAGGAAGTGTTTTACCAACGAGGAAGGAGAGTTGGTGAACAGATCCTGAGGGTAAAAGGGAAAAAGGGGACTTTGGTTTCAATGGAAGTTATGACGGTGCTTAGTTTCTGTAATTGCTGTTGTCCGGTTGCTACTGATTTTTTGTTTTTTCGAACAGATTTTTTCGTCGGAGATCAATTTCTTGAAAACAGTTTCATTTTTTCTTTTTTTTTTTTTGTACAACACTTTTTTAACCTCTGAGAATGTTAAGCATTTAAATTACAGCTAAATGAAATCAACAGTGTGACCGCGGCTCTGATGCAAGAAATCGAAATTTTTAAAGTTCCGACATTTATTGTTTTTTGCGGCTTCTACTACAGTAATTTTCAATTTAGTTCTGTCTTCCTACACGTGATTTGGATGATCAGTGGAGCGCAATCAACTTGTATCCAGACATAAAGGACCGTCTGGTAACCACTCTGTTAGCGTGCCTCCGTTGACGGATTCGCATTGAAGCGGTTGGTTTTAATCTGATCGGCTGCCAGAGCACTTTGTTGACAGGCAGGATCTCCGCGAGTGCTTATTTAAGCAGTGCAGGTTCCCCGTGCGTTAATAGGCAATGGGCTTGTTTTAACACCTATTTGCATACAAGTCACTTTATTCTCCTTTTAGTAAGTTTACTGTTCTACAAGAACGATGGAAATGTGTTCTCTCTTAATTTCCTCAGAAGTAATTCCATGACTGTCACTTGCAATAAAATTTTTCAGATGAAAGTGAAAATTTCTCTTTTTACAAAAAAATCTTTCTTTGTTAATTTTTCATGTTTGTATTTTGTTTTACCCTTTTTGGCATTTTCCTGTTTAATTAATCATCCATAACAATATTTCAGTTTTCTTTTTCAACACATACCAAAAAAGTAACACTTATTGACTTTTTTTTTTTTTTAGCTTAGTCCCTCAAATAGTTATCATATTCTAGTTTTTTTACCGTGCTACACTTTTTCTAACATTAAGCAGCATATAATTACATTTAAATCTAACAAATTGTTAGGTCTTGGCCTTGAAGATAATCAAATAATTTTGTACCCACACAATTACTTGCAAATGTAGAATGCCTATCACTGCAAGCTTGAAAACCGTTGGCAATTTGAAAGTATAGGATTTCTTAAGAGCCCATATTTTTTAAATATTCTCTCAGGAGAAGCTTCAAAGTTGAAGTTGCATAAATCTAAGAACCAGTCAGTGGAGCAGCTCTGAATTTTGGTAGAATGAAATAGAGACCTCTTTCTTAAGGAAGAAGAATAAAAAGAACATACAGAATTATAGATAAGAAAATTTAATTCAGTTTAAGATCAAAACCAGTTTTTTCTTTAGGAGAAAAGGCCTGTAAATGTAGGCTCCTTAAAGAAGTATGTCAAAGGTCTTTCACAACATATATCAGATACAGTTCTCACCAAGCCAGTATAACGTCTTAAAGAGTGAATCATATCCCTCTGTTTAGGATTTTGTTAATTGCATTTTTGTCAGTTGAATTCAGTTCCTTTCAAATGTCAGCAACATCAAATTTCTCTGTTTGTGTTTGCAAGATGAGTATTAGAGTCCTTATATATTCATGTCCAATCTGTAAAGTCTAACAATATTCCGGTAACAACTTACAACACCCTTTAATCAATATTCACATCACTTAACTAAAATTCACAACATTGATATTTATAGTTAATATACAGTCATGCTGATCTATTCCCACCATAAATACATGCTTGAAGATACAACACTACACAGTCTAATACCAAATTGTCACTAGCTACATCTTCAGGCATCAATTAATAATGTTTATGTTGTGCCTTTCAATAACATGCAAACTTTAGTTTTAAATGCAATATCCAGAATGCTTGTAATATTGTAATTGTCAGTCAGGTTGTGGGTGATAGGAAGGCAAAATTCTGATGTTTCAGAAGGTATTGGCTTGTTTTTGAAAGATAAAATAGGTCAGAGCACCAATGAATGATTTCAGCAGGGATATTTTGAACCTTGTCTTATAAGTCCTTGCCATAAATGATCGGGTTTAATGGGGCTAAACTGTCCTGTCTGAGCTGTATCAGAAAATTAAGAAAACAGTTTCATTTAATTATCACCTAGTCTACTGCATCAGGTAACAATTGTGGTCATTTCTTCTCACAGGATCCACGCTTCAACAAGGAGGTTGATCGCCAGACAGGCTACCATACCAAGAGCTTGTTTTGTAAGCCAGTAAAGAACAATGAAGGAGAGGTAAGGAGTTGATTAATGCAATTTTTTATTTTTTGGAGTGAAGAGTGCCTCAAGGTTGCTTCAAGGGTCATTACTTGCAGCTTGAAGCTCTGACAGCAAAATTAAATTTTTGAAAATATTACATTTAACTTTTTTAAAATTAAGTAGAACTTACAAAATGGGGCAGATAGATGGCATGAAAGATTGTGTTTGTTAGGCACCCGAAGCAGAGATTACAGAATTTTCTGGTCGTTAGTACAGTACTACACCAAATTCTGTCTGAATTTCAGTGACATCAGCTACTTTTATTCAGACATATATAAGACTTTCTTTTTATTATACTCTATTCCCTTGCTACTTTTCTCCGGAAAACCCTAATGAAAACAGCTTATAGAAATAAAGAAAACTATTTGTCTAAAAGCGCTGCAAGAGTGAGAGATATTTATAATTCTATTATTGAAAGCTATATGGCTATAGCCACATTACAGCTCATTAAAAGGGAGACAGAAAACAGGGCGGCCATAAGAGTAGAAAAGACTAGCTCTAATGTTGATCATCTCTAATTACCAAGAATGTTTGAAATATATATTATATAGTTTCCTCTAAGTTGTGAGGGTTCCTAATTTTTGTTATTTGGTTAACTCCAGGAATTTACTTTGTCTAAATCAGCTTTTCATGTCTTAAAAGAATATTCAGATACTGTCTGATTACTTTCAACTAGACCAAAATAAAGATTTTAATAAGGATATATTTTTTTTAGCACAATGACTGGCAACCGTTCATCTCTTGCAAGTCGCACTAGATTATGGAACAACCAAGACAGTACTACAAAGGGTCTCAACTCCCTTTGTAAATTTAGAAATCAACTACTCAAGAAATATATAGATTGGAACTCTAGAGTGGATAATCTTATCATAAGCAGAAATTTTAATTAATTTTTATGTTTTAATTGTATTTTTCTTCATTTTTTGCTATTTGATTTTGTAGTTTTAGAGGACCACAATGAGAACTACTGGTTTTCCCAGTAATTGTGTAATCCAATAAAGTCATTCAGTCATTCAAGAAATTGAGGAATGGGTATTAATTTTTTCCAGCAATCCATTTGTGGGAGGCATGACTTTTCCATAACAAACAGTATACTTGTCAGAAATCAATGTAACTTGTGCTGTAACTGATATACTCTCTATATATTTCTACTTTCATTTCTCTTTTTTTCTTTATAGGTGGTGGGTGTCGCTCAGATAATCAACAAAATGCCTGGACCTGTACCATTTACGCAAGAAGATGAAGAGGTAAGTATCTGTTCCCAAATTATTAGATATGACTCAAATAAAAACCTGTCAGGGCTTGACACTAACGGGTTATTAACTAGCCACAGACTAGAAGAAATTCAGTTTTGGCCAGTGGTTTTCAATTTCCAATAGCCAGTTTGGCTAGTAAACAAACTGAAATTGTTCTAACATCTAAGTTGTCACTAGCCACTTGGCTAGTAACTTGAAAAGTTAGTGATGAGCCCTGACCTGTGAGAAAGGCATATTTACTTTCAAGTCACTCTTTAGTGAACTGACTGCTCACTTCACCAATTGCTTAAGTACTGCACTGAATTACCAAGTAAAGTTCTCACTAAGCTTGGAAATTGTAGTAGGTATTTTTCATGATTTAGAACCCTTTTCAGGTCTGTGAAATGTATCTGACATTTTGTGGAATTGGTATTACCAATGCAAAGCTGTTTGAGCTATCTGTAAAGGAATTCAACAGAAATAGGGTAAGAATAATAATTCATTGGACTTTCCGCCTTCAATGTTTTGAAATAATTGCAGACTTCTAGGAGAGAACTCACCAGTGTTTCTCAGTTTTAAATAGCACTTGCTTAGAAGGTTTTCTAGTAAAAAATGTGTTCATAGTGTAAGTTAATACTGAGCTTGGGTTAGCAGATTGTCAAAGAAAAATTGCAGTTCTCGAGGGGTATTTGCTCATTGGAGGTTTAATTCCACATAATACTTTGTGGGGCCTCCCCGACCCCAAAAATATTTCCACCTGAAGTCAGTATCAATGAATTGCAACCATTGTTTGTTGTTAGCTCATTTGATTGATGGGAGTGCGATGTCTTGACATCTGTAATTTAGGAATAGCTGTACCAAAGGGTAACCATCAGCTTGTCTTCCTGTTGTTCTTCAAATTAGGCATTGCTAGAGCTAGTTCATGACATCTTTGAAGATCAGACCTCACTGGACAAGGTAGTGCATAAAATTATGAGGCGTGCTTTGTCAATGCTAAAATGTGAACGATGCTCGGTTCTCCTGTTGGTGCACCCAGTCCTTGGCAACAGTCTGGCAGAGGAAAGATCACAGGTAGGTAGTAATACTGTGTAATATTTATGGACTGAGTGGGAGAGTGGCACAGGAAAATATTTGGCCCAGAGGTCATGATGTGGGGACAGAGTGGTGTGAAGTCCATCATGTGTAATGACTGAGAGCCAAATACTTTCCCATGTGGTGTGCCCAAACTCAGTTAATAAGTATTTTCTTGTATGACCCAAAAGTCTGAAAAGTTCTGTAATTATTTTTGAACCTAACTAGGACATGATTACATATATAAGACAGTAAGTGCTGGAAAACTACAAAGAAGATTTTTACAGTAAAATCTTCTTTGTTATTTCTTTGAGTCAGATGAAGAAACTCAGAATTCAAGGAAGAACACAACTTATTTCTCTCTTTTTTATTTTTTGGAAGTTTAAATCCACCATTAGAACTCGAATTCTTTGAAAACACACCACTTAGCTTTGTATCAAGTGTGGGGCCTGATTCCAGACTGGCTTATTTCATCCTGTATGGCCCTATACAGGTCAGCTTTCATTATGGTTCTCTACAGGATTGGGTGTACTTAGCCTTATAGGAAGTAAATTATGAACCACCCATTGATGTGCCATCTGTGATTTCTTGGCAGATCATGAACCATGACCATAGTGAGGACAAGTAACTTGTCAATGGGAATCACATTAAGTTTATTCTTCATCTCTATGATTTCTCTTTTAGGATTTACGAATAACTAAAGTATTCAATCTCCGAGTGTCAGGAGGTCGCAACAGTAATAGCACAATGTAAGTTTCTTTTCATCTGTTTATTTACTCAATTTCTATGGCTGTAACCTGCAAGGTGTTTGATACTCCTTAAAAACTGTCAGTTTAACCCGGACAGCACCACATATAAATTAAACAAACACATATGATGGCTACTGATATGCTGACACTTGATTGATGACATTTGAGGTCTGCTCAACTAGTCATTCCCTTTCATGCTTTTTCTGTAGGGAACTCCTGGTTAGCCAATGTGATTACATACAGTTGAACCTTATTTGAGGGACAGCCTTGGGACTAGAAAAAGTGTCCCCTGGATAGAGACATCCATTGAAGGAAAATAAAGATACTAAGTTTATGGAGACATTTTGTTCATTGGGCACCAAAGTTTATGTCCCTCTAGGGGAGTGTCCTACTTCGTCTGATTGACTTTCATATTTTTGATTCAATCTATAGTTATAGCGAAGGAAGAGATGATGGGTCTTTTAGTACTAGAATAGCCAAACTTGTCGCATCCACTGGAAAGGTAACACAAATGACTTGTAAATTAACCTTATTAAATCCTCTAAGGTTAAGGGTTGGATTGTTCCAGATATGTTGGTTCATTTTCATCTTTGATGAACTTAATTCCTCTATTATAATCATTAAATTTTTGTGATAACCATATTTTAATGGTTGGTCAACACATCCTGTAAGCCTTTACAGTCCCAAAGGAACAAATTTTGAATCAAAGCTGCCCCAAGGTAGCACTGATTGTGGTGCCTCTTAACAGGCCTTAATTAGAGGCCCATACCTGGTAGATCTCCAAGAGGAACCATCACCTGAAAATAGTAACTGGAGACATGCATATTGGAGTAGTTTTCAAGGAGCAGTTTGTCACCTTTCTCTAGCAATACTGCAGTCAATTTAAGTTGGGTCTGGTGGAGGCAGGGGGTAGGGGGGATGTTATATCAACTTTCTCACCTGCCATATCATTGAATTTATTAAACCAAGACGTGTTAGCTCAGTGACCCCAAAAATTGTTGAACAGCGCATCTGCTAAAAAGGAAGATGTACCAGTAATTTGATGGCATCTAAGGTCCAAGCCAAAAATTAATCATGTCTCATAATTCAATCATTGAATGCACTGTTGTTAGATTCTGAAGTAATAGTGCACAATGATATGAATTGCACATTCACTTTTTTGTTAACTCACCTTTTTTGAAGACTCTTAATGTGCCTGATGCTGCACAAGACCAGAGGTTGAAGAGAATTGTAAGTTTTTAACTCATCAGTATGTATATTCTCCAGACGGTCATCTATACATTTTCTGAGGTGTAGAGAAGGAGACTTAGTTTAACAATCAAGAGCCTGTCATCTCCTTTATTTCATCTCCTTTATGTGTTTGAGCAGGTTGAAATATGGCAGCTATTTGCTGATGTGGACCTGCTATCTTCCCACCCATCCCACCCCAGGGGAGGACATCCACCACACAGTAATCTCGTGTGTGGGGAATTAACGTCTCCTACCCCTAACCCTGCAGGAGACGGGACTTCCATTTATTCGTCCCTATCCGAGAATACTAGAATATCTAACCATTTCTCGATGTTAAAGAAAGGTAGCAAATTCTTCTCAATTATTTTAAGACCTTGAGTGTTGGTCTCGAACCCTCGACCTTCCGCACAACAGTCCAGCGCACTATCCATTGGGCTAACTGGCCGACCTCTTTAGTTGGTGATTATTTCCTTCATTGATTCAGGGGCAGTGGATAGTATACTGTCTGAAAATTTTTTCATGTGGACAGTTGAAGTTCACACAAGTGTGCACAAAATGTCTTATTGCATTTAAATGTTATTTTTCTGATAATTTATGCTTATTGAGGTGAGTTTGGTTCCCCTAAAAATGTCCAAAGGGAATTTATCATGCTAGCGCAAATCAGGCTACAATGCGAATTACTCACTTTAATGAGAAATTGCAGCAATAAAGAGTTTAGTTTAGTTTATCAACTTTATTGGTCTCATAAGTTATTCATATACAGAAATAAAAGAAATAATAAAAAAAAAAGGATCAAATGGGATTGCGCGGACGGAAACAAAATCCCATGCGAGGCGCAACTCGAAATCTGAAAAAATATATATATATATCCGATAAAAAACTAAAATTTAACTTAGATAATTTAACTATGATTAAATTTAGATAGTGTACAGTACAGTGCAAATAAAATCAGTCAGATAAAAATTAAGAGCGATGGCAAGGGCAGTTACGGGAGAGAAACCAGGTGCAGGGCATGTCAATATTATAAGTAGTGTCCAGTAAAGTAAACTAAGTGGCGCGCAGAAAATTTTTAAAAATACTTAGACTCGAAAAATTGTCACGAGAGGCGAGATTACAGATAATGTTCCAGGGTTGAACAATTCTATTAAAAAAAGAGGACTGAAAAGTTGCAGTTTTTCAGTAAGCAGGTTTTAGTACGAGAGTAGGATTCTTAGAGCGAGATCGGCCATGTGTGACAAAAGTAACATACCTATCAATATTTTAGTCGGTATGTCCAGAAATGCATTTATAGAGAAAGGTAAGATCTCTGAGTTCCCTGTCATGAGTTAGTGGCAGTAAGCGAAGAGTCAGCAGTCGTTGTTTATAGGACATCTCGCCAAACCTAGTTCTTAATATCCAGCGAGTTGCGCATGCGCGCCTCTGGACTCTTTCCAAGATCGTTCTCAAATTGACATTAGCAGGAGACCATACCTCTGTCGCATAAGAGAGCTGTGACTTCACGAGAGATAGATAAAGTGTTCGCCTGACTTTAATGTCTGTGATAAGTGGGAAAGTTCTCTTTAAAAGACCCAGCATTCTATTAGCTTTGAGTACAATGCGCACAACGTGCGAGTCCCACGATAGAGTGCTAGATTTAATAACACCAAGATCATTTTCTTCCTGAACGCGTTGTAAGATTACATTGCTAAGGTAATATTCATGGGTCATAGGTGTTTAGTTACCTATATTGAACATAATATGAGGGAAATCGATTGAAATATTTTCCTCAATGAAAGAAAATCTTGTCAGCAACTTTGGCTTCCGTTTTTTTTTGTTTTTTTTGTTTTTTTTCTGGGACAGTTTTATTTACAAAATGTTTGTTTGTCATGGAAAGTGTACTGAATTCAAAATCACACCTAATTTACCCACTTGGGAGTGAATAATGTTCAGTAATTTAGTACGAGATAGCAAACCAATCAGATTCCTTGCGTCACCATGACCGTTGAGTGTGTGTATACTTTTGATCACTATGCAGAGTTTACTTTGAGCTAATTAAGAGATCAGCAGGGTTGCATAGAGTTAAACCCTTGATTGGTTGAGTAAATTTGAAAAAAAAAAAGCGGTAAGGCCAATAGATAGATGCTTTTACTACTGGTGCCTCTTTTGCCAATAATGAAAATTAAAAAAATGTTTTTGTTTTCAACAGATTGCAATGAGCTCGGACAATGGTGTTGATGCTCGTCGGCCGATATTGTGCATGCCAATCAGAAACAACAAGTTTGAAATTATTGGTGAGAGTGTTATTCTGTTTGCTAACAGGAAATTAATTCAGTCTTTAGGTTGGAGATCAAGTGATTGACGCATCGTCGCATAATTGAGAGGTGTTTGATGATCCGGGGTACAGCGAGAATAGGGACCTCAAGAAACCACGTCGGCGACGGCAACGAGGACGTGGAAAAACAATAGATCTAATTGGCAGAACAATAGCTCAGCACGTGCGTTTTGAAACTGTACATTTCTTAGCCGTCCTATGCAAAACAACAACGTGAAATCGCCAAAATTTGCGTCGTCTGCGAACCGAAATCGCGACGGCAAATTATTTTAATTTCCATTTGGAACTG